CTTCGAGAACCCTGACAGCACGGCTCCCAATCCATAAGGCCCGGAAAGTAGATCCGTAGGGACAGTGGGAGATTTCTGTACACCCCCAGAAATCGACAGGTCGAGCAGGCCAGAGATGACCAAGGATGTGAAAGGTTTGCCAACACAGTGGACAGTCCTGGTGTCATTGAACGGCGCCTGCCCTCAGGAGCTGAAGAACGCACGTGCCTCGTAAGCACACGTGGGACCATGTACGAGACCACAGAGAGGTGTGGCTCTGCAGACCCCCGAGACTGAGCTCACAGCACAGCCTCCGACCGCAAAGCATGATGCCCGCTGTCGGCACTGTAAGGGCAGTTGAGGTTTAAGAACCCATCCGGAGATAGACTACCACAGTCCTTAGTCACGCGCAGTAGAGGACAGTCCCAGTGGGAGCCGGGGCGTGTTCACACGGGCCGCAGCAGAAGGGCCACATAGGAACACTGTCGAGAGCAGCTGCAGGGCGTGAAAGGAGACGTGTGGTTTTAAACGCATGAGAGAAGTAAAGATGGGGAAAAATGAGCTAAGTGGGTGGCCAAAAACTCCCAAAGGAACCACAGTAAATCCAAAGAATGTTGTTAGGTGCTGTCGAGTCAGTTCTGACTCATAGCGACCCCATGCACAGCAGAACAAAACACAGCCCAGTCCTGCACCATCTTCACAGTTGTTGCTATGTTTAAACCCATTCTTGCAGCCACTGTGTCAGTCCATCTCATTGAGGGTCTTTCTCTTTTTCAATGATCCTCTACTTTACCAAGCATGATGTGTTTCTCCAGGGACTGGTCCCTCCTGATAACATGTCCACAGCATGTGAGATGAAGTCTCGCCATCCTAGCTTCCAAGGAGCACTCTGGCTGTACTTCTTCCAAGACAAACTTTTTGGTTCTTCTGGCAGTCCATGGTATATTCAGTATTCTTCAGCAGCACCATAACTCAAATGCGTCAGTTCTTCTTAGGCCTTCCTTATTCATTGTCCAGCTTTCACATGCATATGAGGCAATTGAAAATACCAAGACTTAGGTCTTAGTCTTCAAGGTGACATCTTTGCTTTTTAATGCTTTAAAAAACTCTTTTGTAGCAGATTTGCCCAGTACAATGCATCTTTTAATTACTGGACTGCTGCATCCATGGGCGTTGATGGTGGATCCAAGTAGAATGAAATCCTTGACAACTTGAATATTTTTCCATTTATCATGATGTTGTTTATTGGTCCAGTTGTGGGGATTTTTGTTTTCTCTATGTTGAGGTGTAATCCATACTGAAGGCTGTGGTCTTTGATCTTCGTCAGTAAGTGCTTCAAGTCCTCTTCACTCTCAGCAAGCAAGGTTGTGT